TTTATGAGAAATAAAATTTATATTTCAGGTTAATATTCATCACTCGGTGCTACTGTGCTTCATCATGGCTGCCTTTCTCAAAAACTCAACCATGTTTTTTTTTTTTTTTTTATCCTATCCATTAATATAGGCTACAGTGTCAATAGGCATCCAGTTAGCTTGGCTTTTATAAGACACATGCATATGACAGCAGCTAGCTTCTCTCATTCCAGTTTAGACAAGGCAGTGCTACTGAACACCAGTAACTCTAGCTAAATCCAACTTAAACTAAAGTTTAACTGCAGCAAACAGGAAGATTGGTAATCATACTGTAATAAAGTGTTGCTATTAAGTATAACTTAAGCATTGTCCAACATATTCTGGTTAAAGCCAAACACTCACACATGAATCCTTAGCCAATTTAGAATTCATTTCATAAGAAAAACCATGAATAAACACGTGGTTATTGGAAGCCTAGACATGTCTCTTTCTTGTTAACGCAGTCTGCTTCTTATATTATGTGAATGTGAAAATGTAACAGCACATACTAGGATTTAAAAGTTTCCTTTATCTTGTGTTCATCTCAGGCAGAGCTGAAAATGTGACATTGTTCATTAAGGTTTTAGTTGTGTTTTCAGTTTAAGCTAACTGATTTGTAATAAATCATTAACCATCAAAAAAAACAAAAAAAAAAACAAAAAAAAAATCTCAACCATGTAACTTGAGACGGTCGGGTCCTTAGAAATACATAAATGTGATGTTCAGATGATGAATAAATGCACCATGAAGTTAATAGATGTAACATGTATTTATTTAAAACATGGTACAATTATTAGTTATACCATGAAATTAAAATATTTAAAAATTAATGATTAAAATCCCCATTAAATAATGAAAAAGAAATGTAAAACTATAAGTTAAATAATATCTTATTTTAAAAATGCATTATATATATATATATATTTCTAAAATATGTAAACCACCCATTTAATGATTAAAAATAAATCTAAATCAAATAGATATAAATCTGAATCAAAACATAAATCTTTAAAAAATGCAGCTGCACCATGTGAGCNCACCCATTTAATGATTAAAAATAAATCTAAATCAAATAGATATAAATCTGAATCAAAACATAAATCTTTAAAAAATGCAGCTGCACCATGTGAGCTGACAGCTAAACTGTCTGCAAAGATTAAAGCTAATATTCCTCAGAGGGTCAGTTTTTGTTACTCCAGTTTATTAAGGTAATACCTACATGTTGGTGAATTTGATTTAAATAATTGATTAAAAGCAAATAAAAGGTCTTGGCCTTGAGTTAAGTGAAGACCCTATGCTAACAATCTGTGCTGTACTGACTGGAGTGCTTCAAGTATTGAGCTGGTTTGCTTTTACAGCAAAACTTGTATAAAAATAGCTGAGATTATGACTGAGAAATGTTACATAAACAACTTTTTTTTTCATTTTGTGTCCTTTTATTTTCCTGGATGATTTTTCAGCTTATTTAGAATTTAATCAATTAGAATTCAATCAAGTTAATTAATGCTTTAATTGTTTTATTCTGCCTTATCAAGAAGATTTGAGCTTTTTTGTTGTTTATGTTGTTTTGGCATTGCCACAGAGGTTCAGAGGAAAGTGGAATGCCTGGAAACAATATATATGGACAGAGTGATAAGGAAGTCCAAAAGAGATTGCAGCAGACTTCAAACATCCCCTAAGGGCTTTATTTAAGCTGCTCCCTTTGGGCCAAATGTACTGTCTGCCTCTACACTCAAGAAACAGTTGGAAGTTTTCCATCGTGCTGCAAGCGAGGAAAGGCAAGTTTTTTTCTATAGCAGGATGGCAATTTAGTGCTGTACATGAGAAGACAAATAACAGTATATCGCAGTAGCATACAGTAAAGGCAGAACAAATACTCAAAGAGAATAAAAATGCATATGTAAAATATATATAAAAAAAGGATGAAGAAAACATAAAATTAAGTTATACTAAAACAGGAGACTAATGTTTAGATATCTAAGTCAGGTAACTCAGGTTTTCTACACTTTTACAGTTTTATGGCATTTTTGTTTAAGATTAGTGCTGGGTTGGTGCAAGCAATTATGAACAGGGGGTGTTTTTTTTGTTTTTTTTTTTTTTTGACAAAAGACCTATGAGCCTATAGCCCTATTTAAAATACAATAAAAATAAATACCAGTAAATAAATAGATTGAGATTCAATTGAGATTCACTTTATTTTTTATATACATTTCAGTGTATGCCATTGGGGTCTGTAACACACAGACATCATCAGTTCTCAGGTGTAAATATGCTTTTTTAACACTATAACAACGTCGATTTGGTCTGCTGGCATTAACCTGAGTCAGTGTGTTTATGTTACACTTGTCTATAGTAGATTAAAAAATCCTTTTACACAAACCACAAGTAAATAATTATATTATTATACTATTTAAACATCATTGAACACATGTCTATTACACAAAGAACCCCATGATCAAAAAAACACTCCAACATATTATGGTTACGCTGAACTGCATGAATAAATATGAAAGCTCCCGGCGGCACCGTGCTCTTACTTTGAGCTACGTTCTGAGGTCGTGGAAATAAAGTCTCTTATAAGCACACAAATCCGAAATGCGTTTCTGTGCCATATTTACTAGGGATGCACGATATTGGGATTTTAGCCGATATCCGATATGCCGATATTTTAAAACTCATGTAGCCGATAACCGATATCGATACCGATGTTAAAGCTGGACAAAAATAAGTAGTCATTGAAAATAGCGGTTTTGTAATCCATTTCTGACACTTTGGAAAATAATATAAAATACTCAAATATATTTTCATTTGCTGATATCAAA